AAATCTTGCTACACCATCTTTACAAAAAAATTAGCTGGGTGTGGTGGCAGGAGGATCACTTGGGCCCAGAAGTCAGAGGCTGCAATAAGCTATGATTGTGCCACTGCACTCCAGCCTGGGTAACAGAGTGAGACCCTGTCCCATAAAAAAAAAAGAAATTACTGACTTAGAAAGAAGTCCAAGATAATAAAATTTAAAAACATGTTGCAGAAGAGTTTGTATAGCATCTCCCTTCCCCACCCTTTTAAAGCAAGTGTACATATGCCTTTGTATCTCTCTCTCTCTTTATATATTTTAAATTACTGCCTATGTTTAGAAGAAATGCTGGAGGAATATTCAACATATTAACAATGGTCACCTCTGGGGAGTTGGTTTTGCTAAGGAAGGGATGTATTTTGAAGGAGGACTTTGGCTTTTGAAAATTCTTGTTTGTTTTTTTGAGACAAGAGTTTTGTTCTTACTGTCTAGGGTGGAGTTCAATGGCATAGTCTAAGCTCACTGTAAACTCTGCCTCCTGGGTTCAAGTGATTCTCATGCCTCAGCCTCCCAAATAGCTGGGACTGCAGGTGCATGCTACCACGCCTGGCTAAGTTTTGTATTTTTAGGAGAGATGGAGTTTCACTATGTTGACCAGGCTGGTCTTGAACTCCTGACCTCAGGCAATCCACCCACCTTGGCCTCCCAAAGTGCTGGGATTACAGGCAAAGCCACCACGCCCAGTCCAGAATTTTTTTTTTTTTTTTTTAGTTTTTTTCCTGTTAAAAAAAATCCCAGAGGCGATCTTTAGATAATAATCCATTGCCTCTAATCATGTAGACTACCGTTCTGCAAATTGCATCTTTGCATTAGAAATGGTTTACCAGCAGTTTTCAAGCTGGCAGTCAGAAGTCTGTAATTAAGTTTCTCATTTTATGTTGGCTGGGATTTAATGATGTGGAACTCTTCCCCATCCCATAGGATATTCACCTCTTTCTGTCTGAGCACAGGTTTTCTTGTTAGTGTATCGCCATAGCTGCCAGTGCCTGTAAGTCCCATTCTTATTTGGGCATATGTGACACTTTGAGATCTGTGTGGGATTAAAGGCCTGTGACCTTCCAGCAGTTAATTTTCAACTCACTTTATCCATACCCTGTCAGGTGATGCCTCTGATTGTGGCTGACAGCTTATAAGTGACTGTCAGTCTGACAGCTGGGCTGAGACAAACCTTGGATGGAAAGCTCAGGGAACCAAATAATTAGGTGGAAACTGTGAGTTTTAATCCTGAGATTTATAGGTTTGTTGGATAACCTGAGCAATTGACTTCTTTACAGTGTATCTTAGTTTCTCTGCCCATAAAGAGGGAAGATTATTAAGTTTCAGCCTGAAAGGACTGAGTTAGGAAATAACTCTGGTCTGATCAGATCTTAACATCTTTGGCTCAGGAAGGTAGATTCTAATTTGAGCTAGTTTCCCAGATCTCCTGTTCTCAGAATACTTCAGCCACTGCTGAGTTGAAGACCCCTTCCAAGTATTCAAACCTAAGCTAGATTTTCTTTCCCCTCTCATAGTATTATCCAATATAACTTTCTGTGATATGAAAATATTCTTTTGTGTTTTTGAGACGGAGTCTTGCTCTGTTGCCCAGGCTGGAGTGCAATGGTGCGATCCCGGCTCACTGCAACCTGGGTTCAAGCAATTCTCCTGCCTCAGCCTCCCAAGTAGCTGAGATTACAGGCATGTCCCACTACACCTGGCTAATATTTTTGTATTTTTATTAGAGACGGGGTTTCTCCATGTTGGTCAGGCTGGTCTCGAACTCCTGACCTCAGATGATCCACCCACCTTGGCCTCCCAAAGTGCTGGGATTACAGGCATGAGCCACTGTGCCCAGCTGATGAAAATATACTTTATGTTTTCTGATTTGTTTTTTGACACCAACTTTCCAATTCTCTGGACACCAACTGGGTCTCCAATGACTCAGTTCAATTCCATCATTATTTATCTGGATCTTGTGTTAGATCTCAGTCCTGTGAAATTGCCCCCGCTTCAGTTGTCAGCTGCAAGTCCTGGGCCACTTGTATTTCTGACCAACCAGTTGTAAATCACGGGTTCCATCATCACCTTCTTAGGTTTGAGACTTTGCCAGAATGGCTCACAGAAGTCAGGAAAACACTTTACAGTAGTCCCCCCTCATCTGTGGCATTACTTTCCACAGTTTCAGTTACCATAGGTCAACTGAGGTTTGAAAATGTTGAGGGGAAAATTCTAGAAACAATTCCTAAATTTTAAATTTCAGTGTGATGAAATCTTGCACTGTCCTGCTCCATTCTATCTGGGTTATGAATTGTACCTTTGTCCATCCACACTGTGTACCCTACCTTCCCATTAGTCACTTAGTAGCCTTCTCAGTGATCAGACTGACTGTCTGCTATTGCAGTGCTTGTGTTCAAATAACCCTTATTTTACTTAATAATGGCCCCAAAATGTAATAGTGATGCTGACAATTTTGATATGCCAAGAGAAGCCATAAAGTGCTTCCTTTAAGTGAAAAGGTAAAAGTTCTCCACTTAATAAGGAAAAAACTGGGACTACCAGAGGGGGGACTGAGGAAGGGGGAGGAGAGTACAATGGTTGAAAAATTTACTGAGTACTCAGTACTTCTGTAATGGGATGATTACAAACCTCAGCATCATGCAGTATACACAGATAACAAGCCTTAACATGTATCCCCAGAATCTAAAATAAAAGGTGAAAGAAAATTAAGGAAAGAAAATGTAATCATATCTTGTTGTTGCTAAGATCTACACTAGGAATGAATCTTCAATGTGTGAAATTGTGAAGAAGGAAAAATTCATGCTAGTTTTGCTGTCGAACTTCTAACTGCAAAAGTTACAGCCACAGCATGTGGTAACTGTTATTACAGTATGTTGTTATATTATTGTTATTGCTAATCTATAAGCGTGCTTAATTTATAAATTAAATTTCACAGCCAGGCATGGTGGCTCACGCATGTAATTTCAGCACTTTGGGAGGTGAGGTGGGTGGACTGCTTGAGTTCAGGAGGTCAAGACTAGCCTGGGTAACAGGGTGAAACTCCATCTCTACAAAATACTAAAATTTAGTGGTCATGGTGGTGTGTGCTTGTAGTCCAAGCTACTTGGGGTTGCTGAGGCGGGAGGATTGTTTGAGCCTGGGAGGCAGAGGTTGCAGTGAACCGAGATCGTGACACAGCAAGACCCTGTCTCAAAAAACAAACAAAAAAACCAACTTTATTTTAGGTGTGTATGTATAGGAAAAGACATATATATGTATATGTGTGTATATATATGATTTGGTACTATTCTTTGCCAGTTTATTATAAAGGATACAACTTAGAAACACCCAAATAATTGAAGAGATACATAGGGCAGGGTATGGGTGGAGTGGAGTGGGGTAGGGTAAGTCGTGATGAGGAGCTTTCCTGCTCTCGGTATGCCACCCTCCCAGCCCTAGGATGTGTTTACCAACCCAGAAACTCTACAAATCTCATGTATGGGAGTTTTTATAGAGCTCAGTCTCTAGTTCCCAACTCTCCTCTTCCCAGACATAGGAGATTGGTGGGTGAGACTCAAAGTTCCAGTCCTCTAAGCCAGCATGGTGGAGAGCGCCTGTAGTTCCAGCTATTTGGGAGACTGAGACAAGAGGATCAGTTGAGCCCCCCAGGAGTTTGAGTCCAGCCTGGGCAACATAGCAATACCTTGTCTCAAAATAGAAAAAGAAAGTTCCAACCTTGTAATCACTTGGTCTTTCTGGTGACTAGTCCATCATGAGGCTATCTAGGGACTTCACTCTGTCAATTCATTAACATAAACTCATAATCAAAAAGGGCTTATTATGAATAACAGAATACAGTCCTATATCACTTAGTAAATCCCAGGAGTTTTAGTTCTTTGCCAAGAAGGGGGACAAATGTATTTTTGTATTATACTACATCTGTGCTGATGCAGTAGCCACTGACTTTTTAATTTTACTTATTTCAACTAATTGAAATGGAAACTTAAAACAGCTACATGACTACTGACTGTCTGTTTAGGCAGTGCAGCCCTATACAATTATAAAGTTGTTTTTTTTTTTCCTACTGTCTTCTGCCCTTCAGCACTAAACTATGAAATTTTGAGAACAGAGATTGTTCAACATTATACTTTCAGAGTTTCTTGCTTAGGATAGAAGCTCAAATATATTTAGCAGTGGATTCAGGTTAGCAAATAATTATTGAATTCTATGTTCTGATTAGCTTTTTTTGGTGGGAACACAGAGGTAAGAGAAACATAAATCCCTTGCTGTCCTCAGATTGCTTACAGTCTAGTGATGTAAACAGATTACAGTGGTGTATAATAAAAATGAGTATTGAACTTAGTCCATGGAATTGTGAATGGTTAGGCTGTTTGGATGAGTCAGAGCATAGTACATACAATATCTGAGGTATAGTGAATGGGTGTTCAGTAAATCTCACTGAATGAATGAATGAATGAATTCTAGTCTCAGTTCTACCATTAACTGCCTTCTTGAGCAGGTTGCCTAGTCTTTGAGCCTTAGTTTTCCTATCCCTGAAACGAGAATGATGTGCATATTTTAGGCTCTGAGTTTTTTGACTGGCAGGACCGTGTTTCATTAATCCTTGTATATATTTTTGCCTATAATATAGTAAATGTCTAGTAAATGTTTTAGTGAATCATTAATCCCACCATGATAAAGGATGTTAAAACACTTTCATTAATGTGCTTATATTATTGTCCTATATCATTGATTGGGAGATGACTGACTTGAAAAGTGGAGAGGGAATTTGGATTCCCCAGAGGTAACAGTGACCTTTCATTTTGACATTTTTTTTGGCTGCAGCTGTCCTCTAATGATTTGAGATTTTCACTTCTTTCCTTTATTGCCAGTGGAAATTATGAAAGAAATTAATGTTGAATCTAACACATTTGGGGCAGCAGTTTTAAGGGGACTATGATGGACTCACTCCATTACTCTCATGGTGATTGAAGAGCTAGCCCTTTCCAAGTTGTCAGGTTTTTTTTTTTTTTCCTATTTTTTAACAGCAGACACTCAGATGGGACTTGTTCTGTTTAAGTGTCATGTTGGGTTTATTGAACTTGATGACAGACTTGATATGCCCCTTGGGCATTTATTTATGGCTTGATGTCAGAAATCCAGGCACAGATTGCTCTGAAGAGCTCCGTTCCCTGTGGTGTGGCAAGCAAAGCATTTTTGTTTGTTTCTGTTTGATTTTGGAGCATATGCTTGAACAGATTTAGATATGCTTTCTCTATTTGTAGGTAAGTTCATCTTTCTCTTTTTTTAATTGAAAGGATAATATAGATTAATAAAGAAAAATGAGGAAAATATTGGTACGATGAAGTAGACCTGATAAACTCATGTTTGAATTGCACTGCTGTTATTTATCAGCCTTGTGAACCTGGATAATTTATATGATTTCAGACTATGTTTTCCTGTGAACCTTCGTCAAAGAGGATTAAATGAATGGATGGATATAGTATATATATGAGGTACTCCGCACAAAGGGAAGGGGCCTCAAATCTTTTATATGGTATCCTCTACTGCATATATGTCATCTAACTTTTAGTGGTGTGTCTGTGGTAACAATGGAGTCTCTCAAAAATTCAGACTGCTTTCTGAGAATGAATCTAGTCATGAGTCCCCCCATATAGATTATGGGTTCAGCCATAGATAGAAATAAACCAAGTAATTGCTTATAAATCTGACTGAAGAGATGGAAGCACTAAAGATGTAAACAAGACAATCTGGGTTTAATTTCAGGGAAAAAGGATTGGGATGAATTTATAATTTAGGAGACTGAAATCTTGTTGATTATATAATAATATTCTGTTTTGTTTTGTTTTTTTCTTCTTGAGATGAAGTCTTGCTCTGTTTCCCTGGCTGGAGTACAGTTGCATGATTTCAGCTCTCTGCAACCTCTGCTTCCTGGGTTCAAGTGATTCTCATGCCTCAGCCTCCTTAGTAGCTAGCACTATAGGCAAGTGCCACCACGCCTGGCAGATTTTTTTATTTTTTTTAGTAGAGATGGGATTTCACCATGTTGGTCAGGCTGGTCTTGAACTTCTGACCTTAAGTGATCCACCCACCTCGGCCTCTCAAAGTGCTAAGCCACCAGGCCAGTCCTGTATGATAATATTCTATTGAGGGAGAGATTATGGGAACAAGCGGGGAGTTGTCAGCTTAAAACATAGTAAACATAGTAAAAGAAAGGCTGAGTGCTTGAAGTTGGTGGAGTTTATCTTGCCTTATTTAGGGCAGAAATTAATCTGATTATATGAACTGTAGGGATGGATTTTTTTTAATGAGGAAGTGATAGTCCACTAAACCTTCATGAACAAAAAAATTATCTCAAAAATAGTTGTCTCCCTTTTGTTGTGATTCCATGTGGGAGCAATTAAATACCTAGGCAGCAGCTAGTTTACCTAGAAGAGGACTGAGAACCTTCCAGGTATAAGGAAAGTGTATCTTGTATTATAAATTAACAAACTGGTGAATTGTGTCTCTCTTTGAACCAGTCACTAAAGTGACATTCTAGTTAATGTATTTTAGTACATAAGCATCTGCATGCTGAAGACTCCTGCCCTTATATCTACAGTTCATACGCTTCCCCTGAGCTACAGACTTACATATGCAACTGCCTACTTGACATTTGCATTCAAGACCCAGGGCAAGGGCTAGACGATGTCTTTTTTTAATTCACTGTATAAGCTAAGGTCTTAAGGTAATAAGCTGTTAATATCTCAACTTTAATAATCCTGTACCCCATTATAACTATTTTTATATTTCCTTTTTGTCTATGTCCATGTGAGACATAGTTTCACATTATTTCAATCATAGTATATATATTATTTAGTGTTAATTTTGTTTTATTTTTTGTGATTGGAAATAATGCTTATCATAGAAAAGTAGAAGGGAAAAAAACCACAACAGAAAATGATCATTATGTAATGTTACTACCATACAGAGATAGGCACTGTTAACATTTTGGTGTATTTCTTTTCTTTTTGAGACAGAGTCTTGCTTTGTCACCCAGGGTGGAGGGTAATGGCGCGATCCTGGGTTCAAATAACTCTCCTGACTTGGCCTCCCGCGTAGCTGGGTCTATAGGTGCCTACCACCCCACGTGGCTAATTTTTGTGTTTTCAGTAGAGACAAGATTTCACCATGTTCGCCAGGCTGATCTCAAACTCTTGACCTCAAGTGATCTGCCCACTTTAGCCTCCCAAAGTGCTGGGATTACAAGCATGAGCCACCACACCTGGCCAACATTTTGTTGTATTTCTGTATATTCACATATGTGTATACAATTTAATAGGTTGAGATTAAGATTATACTCTATATTTAAAATTTGTAGTGTCTTGCACATAATGGACCGTATACATTTCCCCATTAAAAATATTTTTTATAAACAATTTAATGGCTTTATTCTGTCATTCAGATGTACCTCATAACATTTTAAGTTGTTTCTAGTTTTTCTTTTTCTTTTTTTTTTTTTTTTGAGACGGAGTTTCGCTCTTGTTACCCAGGCTGGAGTGCAATGGCGCGATCTCAGCTCACCTCAACCTCCACCTCCTGGGTTCAGGCAATTCTCCTGCCTCTGCCTCCCGAGTAGCTGGGATTACAGGCACGCGCCACCATGCCCAGCTAATTTTTTGTATTTTTGGTAGAGACGGGGTTTCACCATGTTGACCAGGATGGTCTCAATCTGTTGACCTCGTGATCCACCTGCCTCGGCCTCCAAAGGGCTGAGATTACAGGCTTGAGCCACCGTGCCCGACCTAGTTTTTCACTGTTAATGCTTTTAGACTTGTCATATTTATCCAGGAGAGAGATACCTGTACCAAAAAAAAAAAAAAAAAAAATTATACTTTGGAATTAGTTGAGAGAATCACAAGTTGTTGATGCCATTATTTCTGTGTGGTACACCAGTAAATAGACCTGTATTAGGGGAGAAGAATAATGTTTTCTCAAGTATATTAGGTTCAACATTAATTATTTCATAACTTTCATTAGCAATAGAGGAAAAAGATAAATTTTAACCAGTAGAGGATAGTTGCAGCCAAAAAAACAGTAAAAGTGAAGGGTTTCTTCTTTATGGGATCTGAATTTGCTCTTCAAACTTTAAAATTAGACTAGTTGGCTCATTACATCATAGGGGAGAAAAATAAAACCCCACTTGCGTGAATTTCACCCAGTTTGGAGATAATGTGTTGATCTAAAATTAAAAACATAATGTATTTAAAACATTTTAGAGGCCCCACAGTTGTTTAGATAGGTAGGCTAACAACCTCCAGAATCAGCTTATGTAGGTGTGAGAGATGTAGTGATGATGGATAGAGAAAGCAGTGGCTCCCAGTAGAAGCTCTAAACAGAAAGGGTAAATCCTTTGAATTTCAGGTATGTGCAGGCACCCATGTGCATCTCTTTGTGTGTATGTGAAAGAGAGTGGGAGAATGAATGGAGGTGGATAAATTTCCCAAGCAACTTTAGGGAGAGCAGTTATTTTAGACAAGATGACTACTTTATGTTGATTCAGAGTAATTATTTATGTTCATTTTTTCCAGAATCAAAGTAATCCTATTATTATTGAAAATAAATGAAAAAGTTAACTTGTAATACTGTAACCATTGTTAGAATTGGAGTCATTTTTTTCTAATTTTAAAAATGTTTTTAAAGCAAGGTACGTATTCTGCATCATGCTTTTTAAATTTAGAATGGGAAGAATGCTAGATACCCACAGTACTTGACAAATAATAGGCACTGAATAAATATTTACTAAAGAAGGAATTATTGACTCATTTAAAAATATTTTGAATGGACCATCAAGTGACTATACCATAATTGACCTAATTGTTACCCTTTTGTTGGAAATTAGGTTGTTTCTAAATTTTCCTGTCTTAAAAATACATTGAATATTTTGACGCAAATCACTTTTCCTGAAGCATTATAGCTTTTCCTAGGTATAAAATTATTTTCTTAGGACAGGTTCCCAGAAGTGATTGAGAGTCAAATTAAGTATTAGAACTCTTGGTTGCAAGGGGTGGAAACTTAATTGAGAAACATTTTGGCCAGTCTTGTCAGGGGCTTCCAGGATAAATCTCAGTTATGTTTCTCAATTATGTTTCTGTCCCTTGTGTCTCTTTCCTCTTATTGCTGGGACTTCAGCCTTTGCTATATTAGGTGCTCAGATTACACTCCCAGGGCTTTGTTTTCTGTTTACCAGTGCTCTTCTTTGCTTTTCTCTGGCAGACTCTTGCCATCTGGTGGTAAAAATTGACATTAGCAATTTTTTGTAGTTTATAATCATGACATTTATATGTATAATATAAGCAAGGTGGTTCTCCCAAGGAAAGGATTTTGGACAGACCGGAAAAGGAAGTCTGTTATAAGTGTTTTATTAAGTGTTATTAAAATAACACTTAATAAATTTGATTTTTGAGACAGGGTCTCGCTCTGTCACCTAGGCTGGAGTGCAGTGGCACCATCTCAACTTATTGTAGCCTTTACTTCCTGGGCTCAAGCCATCCTTCCACCTCAGCATCCTGAGTATCCACGACTACAAGCATGCACCACTGTATTCTATTAATTTTTTTGTAATTTTTTGTAGAGATAGTCTCACTATATTGTCTAGACTGATCTTGAATACCTGGACACAAGCAGTCCTCCCAAAGTGCTGGGATTACAGGCCTGAGCTTCCATGCCCAGCAATTATTTGATTTTAAATTATTTTTTATTAAATGTGTAATAGTTTATGAATATTTTATCATTCCTGGTAGCCATTGCAAAGTGACTTCCAAAAGTATATTCCAGCCTCAGTAATATTTCTTATTTTACTATCCTTTTACCACATTGAATATTATTATTTTCTAAATATTTTGCTAATTTAATGGATTAGAAATAGTGGCTTGTTTATATTTCCTTTTTTCACTTAACGTCTGTCATAATTTTTTTTTGTAATTAATCAAAATGACTGTTTACTCTTTTATTCAACAGATTTACCATGTTTGCTGTGCTGTTTTTCTGTTATTGTTCATTAGGGTTATTTTATGGTTCTTATATTTTTAAACCTCTGTAGGTAATAATATTGCAAATTATTTATTTATTTATTTTTGAGATGGGGTCTTGTTCTGTCACCCAGGCTGGAGTGCAGTGGTGCAGTCTCAGCTCACTGCAACTTCTGCCTCCTGGGCTCAAGCAGCCCTCCCACCTCAGCCTCTTGAGTAGCTGGGATCACAGGTTCACACCACCATGCCCAGGTAATTTTTGTATTTTTTATAGAGATGAGGTTTCACCATCTTGCCCAGGCTGGACTGCAAGTTATTTTAGGTCTGTTAAGTTGTTTGGCTCTTTTGAGTTTTTCCTTCGGAAAAAATTCTGTTGATATTTTGCAAAAATATACCAACTTACATTTCTATCAGTATTGTGTAACTACAGTTATTTTATCACATCTTTACTAATATGGAGCATTAAATTTTTTATTTTTTATTTTTAAAATAACATTTATAATATTTCAAAAACAGAGATGGGGGCCTCCTTATGTTGACCAGGCTGGTCTCAAACTCCTTGCCTCAAGGTATTCTCCCATCTTGGCCTTCCAAAGTGCTGTAATTATAGGCATGAGCCACTGTGCTCGGCCTATTTTATTTACTTATTTTTATTTTTTGAGCCAAGGCCTCGCTCTGTCACCTGGGCTGGAGTGCAGTGGCACAACTGTAGCTTACTGCAGTTTCAACCTCCTGGGCTCATGCAGTCCTCCTGTCTCAGCCTCCTAAGTAGCTGGGACTATCGGCACATGCCACCACACCCAGCTAGGGTGTGTGTGTGTGTATGTGTGTGTGTTTTATTTTTTGTAGAGACTAGGTTTTGCCGTGTTGCCCAGGCTGGTCTCGAATTCCTGAGCTTAGGTAATCTGCCCACCTCAGCCTCCCAAAGTGCTGGGATTACAAGCATGAGTCACTGTACCTGGCCACTTTGAACATTATTTTAAGAATGTTCATTGGTTGATTGGATATAAAAAGCAGTCTCAACTTGCAGTTTTAAGTTTCACACTTTTCAGTGAAAAATTTTATTTTTCCCTTACAATCCCCAACTCTTATCTTCTTTTCCAGTTTATAGTATAAATACCAGATGTGCCCTCTGCTTTATATTACTTCTTCTTGTGCCCAGGTCTGGTCCATCGAACTCATATGTCATCCTGTCGGGTGGATAAGCCCTCTGAGATAGTAGATGTCGGAGACAAAGTATGGGTGAAGCTTATTGGCCGAGAGGTAAAGTTCTGTGCAGCTTCCATGTGGTTAGAAAAGATTAGGAAGAGCTGGGATTTTCTTGGTATTTTATGATAGCGAGTGTGTAAATTTTGTTAATTGTGACTGATAATCTTATTTTTAAATCCTGCCACTAGAATTTATTATGAATTTAAACCTTCTTGCAAACTCAGAAGGAATGAAATGAGCTATAAAAGTGTGGTGCAATAAGTGCATGTTTGTAAACCTTCCCTCCCTGAAGTTTGCACATAGAGTGGGCAGGAGGAAAGAAAAAGAACCAAAAAGAGGAAAGGAAGCTTGATTTATGAGACAAGTGTTTATCACAGACTCTAAAGAATACCTGCCAGATACACTTCAATTTGGGATAAAACAGAAAGAACACAGTTTACAGTCATTTTTCCTAATATCTGACACCATGCAATGTGCAGCAAGTGAAAAAAAATCTGAAGGATGCTGTTACTCCCTTGAGGGTATGAGGGCTGTGGGTGTGGGCCAGACCACAGGAGAAACAAGAGCATACACTGAGTCCTGTTCTTCTGCCAGAGAAAGGCATGGGAGATAAGCATGAAAGAGCTATTATTTAACAATATTTAAATAATGTGTGCTAGGTTTTGGAAATATAAGAGCGAACCAGACATAAATGATTCCGGCTATTATGGAGGTTATATAGAATATAAGTAGAGGAGACAATTTTTCTTTCTTTTTTGAGACAAGATCTCTCTTTGTCCACCCAGGCTGGAGTATAGCAGCACCATCACAGCTACGTGCAACCTCATCCTCCTGGGCTCAACTGATACTCCCACCTCAGTCTCCTGAGTAGCTGGGACTACAGGCATGCACCACTATACCTAGCCAATTTTTTTTATTTTTTGTTAAGATGGGATCTCACTGTGTTACTACCCAGGATGGTTCAAACTCCTGGGCTCAAGTGATTCTCCTGCCTTGGCCTCCCAAAGTGCTAGAATTACAGGTGTGAATTTCCATGCCTGGCTGAGACAAATATACATAAAATAATTACAAGTTACATTAAGTGCTATATTGGGTTCAAACACTATTGGAGGAAGATATCTAATTGTCAGGAAAGGATTGTTTGAGGAGATAGTATATGAGCTGAGACCTAAAAGAAAAGGAACTAGTCATGGAAGACGGGATAGAAATATTCCACGCAGAGAGAATAATTGATACAAAGACTCTGAAGTTAAGAAATGCTTCATGTGCTGTGGGAAGCAAAAATGTCAACAACGCGACAAATGTCTTCATGCTTAAAGAAGCCCTAGACCAAGTCCAGAAGGAGATCTAGTCTCCTGAAATGTTCAAAAGCCCCTTCTGAGCTTGGGGATCTCTGAACAAATCACTATGCTGAACTTACCTGGAAGAAACAGCTTTTATTTTCTGCCCGGTTATTTCTGCAAGCCTTGGATTTTTGTCTCTTTTAAAGACAAAAAGACTGTTTTTTTCTTTTCTTTCTTTCTTTTTTTTTTTTTTTTGAGACGGAGTTTCGCTTTTGTTACCCAGGCTGGAGTGCAATTGCGCCATCTCGGCTCACCGCAACCTCCGCCTCCTGGGTTTAG